AGTGTCCAATGAGCTAATTACGAGTACTGCCTGTCTCGCCCGTTCACCCTTTTCATCAATTTACGAAAATATTTAACGTTATCCTAATTTGCTTTTAAAAATAACACCATCTATATTTATAGCACTAGTAAAAATACGTTTTTTCCCGCCAATTCAAGGGAAGGTGAGATAAGGACTAGCAGAGCCATCTATGGACAGAGATATTTCACAAAAATATAAAAAATGAGTACTGCATTTCCCCCATTTTTTGTTAATTTTCCCCGGCGGCAATGGGTTAACAAATGAAGCACACTCATCAACTTGCATAGGCACATGCAGATAATTCTATAGTATTCACACAAGTTCATGGTTTGGATTCTTGATATCTAACTTAAAGTAGATTTGATATACAGCAAAGTGACATAATGAGAAACACAGCAAGAAATTAGCTGCTAGAAGGCAAAGCAAAATACGATTTTGTCGTTGACTCTGTCTCTTTCTCCTTTCAGACGGCAGACAGTGACCTCAACACCCTGCTGGATAGAGCTCCACCTCAATGGGCCCTTGCAGTGGCTGGACCGCGTGTTAACACAAATGGGTTCCCCGTGCCACCCTTGCTCCTCCATGTCGTGAGTAGAGACGGCCACCAGAGACCTGCAACAAGAATATCTCATTTGTTAGAGGCTTCCAAGAATCTACAAAATGTTGGGTTGAAATTCGGTCAAGGCTCCAGAAACCCAAGATTGAGTGTTGCACAAGCTTATAAGAAATTGAGATTACTTTCAAATGGAAGGGAAAACTGCAAGTGCAATGCCTTTTTTTTTTTTTTTTTTTTCCTCAATATACATTGTATTTACTCCTGGATCATAATGTTGCAGAAAGGTTGAAGGCAAAGTGTAGTACAACTTTCCAGTGATCATATCATCTGATAGTAGTGCCCACCTATTACTTGTACCAGCTCTGTTAAATACACTGGTTTTAAGAGTAACTAAATCTTATACTGGATTTTTTCTCTCTATGTATATCTATGTCTTTAAGCTTGAGAGATGGCTATTCATCTGGAAGGACAGACATAAATTAAGCCTCATTAAAATTTTCAATTTGATTGTTTATTTTTTTATTTTTTGTTTTATTCCTAGTAAAATAAAAAAAAGAAAAAAAAGAAAAATACAAGCTCAAAATTTATTTGAATATGTCACATTGTCTGCCATTGAACTCAGGAACAGTGTGAAGTGCATGTGCTTTCTGCAGACTGATGCTGTGAAGGAAGAAACTCTGGAAAGACAGCCGGCTTTTGGGGAACTTTTAGTTGGCATGAAGTGTAATTTTTGTATCTAAACATGTACATTTCATTATCACATCAAGAACTTGGTCTTGTCTCTTGTGAGCCTTATCCACAGTTGGGTATTATAAATTTAAGAAACTGCTTGACAGCTGTGCAAGAAATTTCTTAAAAAGAAAACCTATAAAAAAAATAATAAATAAATAAAAAAAAATATCTGTTCAATCAATCCACAATGTCCTTTGCTTATTATATTTTATATTTTGCGGGGAAATTATTAAAATTAGGGAAAAGAAAAGGAGGTCTTTTCTTCCTCCATACATGTCTTTTCCTAAACAGCATTGTGGATTGACTGATTAGAAAATATACCTAATGAAATTAATGTGTGGTAAGAAACATGTAAGTCCTGCGCACGCACTGCTTATGGTTGTAGAAGTATTGATATTCTCTTCCCACTAACTGAAGTTGCTAGACCAGCCTCTCCTTCAGCCTTACTGTGCTGCAAATATAGAATCATTTGCTTATTTTTTTGAGGGAAGTGAAAAGCAGGTGCGTGCGTGTGTGCGTGCATTTGTGTGCATGTTTTTTCTTTCTTTTTTTTTTTCCCTCCCCCCCCCCAAAAAAAAAATTGTATGATAAATATTTTCTGTGGCATATAAGGTTTTTGATTTACATGACCACTTTTGCAGTGAGACAAATTGTTAGTCTCATAATGTACTCAAGTATTATGTTTCTATTGTTTCCGATATATGTAAGTTTTATGCTCTCAGTATAGGAAAATTACTTCTAGACAGTGTAGGGTATGATTTTTTTTCTGAATCTGGAACTGCTACTGTTATGGGTAGCGTGTGGCCATACATAGCTTTATGAGAGGTGGCATGTTTTTCTGTTTTTATTATTGTTGTCAAAAACAATGGAAATTACATGGCAAGAGCATCAAGGCAGATGCTTGCATTTGTTGAAAAGAATTTTTTAGTTTGAAGTTAGTCAGATTGTGTAGATGTGTTATACAGTACATACGTAATGATGCTGAACTTTAAGAATTGCCTTGTTAAGGCATTCACCCTCATCACTTAACAAAGTGCATTGTAACCTATCTGTATTGTGGCCGAGATTGCAAAGGTTTTGAGGGCAAGAGATGGAGAGTGAGAGTATATATGCTTGAGAAATTCAAGGAGTGAAAGGGAGAAAGAGTGAGTGGAAAAAAAAAAATTATGTGTGAGTGTGAGATGGGAGTGGCTAATGGTGGTCTGTTATGGAATTTGATACATAATGAGAAATGGTGAAACCTAATGGTATTAAATGTCACATTATTTATTATGAACATGCTCTTAGAATGTCGTAAAAATTATTGATAGTTATTTTAATCTTTGGCATGAAAGAAATATTTAGATCGTAACAGATTATGAATGAAATATATACTATTAATATGAAATGTGTAGTACTTTTTTCAAGTAAATTATTCTAAAGGCAATGGCCATTGTTATTCTGATTTTGCCCAAATCTGTTCTTTAGTATCATTTAATAATTCTCATCAACAATTGAATTTAAACTGTTTTACAGTTTTGATGGAAATCACCTTTGAAGTATGCCAAACCCAGAACTAAATTGAATGTGTGAGGCCTTTATGACATCATAGGGACTGGCTGATGCTGATAATTTCTCAGATCTACTTAATTTCTCAAACATTAGATATGTCCTAGTTGAGGCTAAACCAAAGCAGAACAAGATTAAAATAGAAACCCATTAGCAAAGGCAGAAAATTGGACAGACAGGAGGAGGGAAGGAGAACAGTTGAGTAAATGAAAAAGGAAAGAATGATTGAGTGAAAGGGAGAAAAATACAAGAGATAGCAAGACATACTGTGAAAGAGAAAGCTAAAGACAGGCCGAGGGGAAAATGAGCATTTCTCTGATGTCATTATGGCTTCATGCACTTCTCCCAGAACTTAACTTTGCAGCATGGCAGCAGCATTAGAGGGGCAGACACGGCAAACCTACTGATCACATTAATTCTATTTGTTGATTAAATTTATCACATGGTACCAAAGAGTAAGTTTTGAAGAAAAATCAATTATTTCACAGCCCTGGCCATTACCCTTAATATAACCAACATTTTAAAAATTATTATTACTATCACTAAATATTTTTATCATGTTCACTTTTTTTAATGTACTGTACTGTTTATTGAATTTATGACATATTGCAAAAATAAAAAAAAGTAAATAGGAGATTAAGGTATATATTTGTAATATGGCTACCTTTTCTGAGGCCAGAAATCCCACCTCCACCAAAATCCTCTGACCTTTGCCATCTGCCTTTTAATCCAGTCACAACGAGCATCTCATTCATCATCTCCATAAGATTATACAGCTGCCATAATTATTATTATGTCCATGATTGTCATAGTCATTCTTCATCAGTGACGGTGTATCACCTAGCTTTTGTTTTAATCATGAAGAAGCAAGTCACATAAAGGGTTGTAGAAGGTTACGAGGCCCTTGGTATTAGCGTTTTATAATTCGTTTTCTCACTCTTGTTACAGGAGATATCTCAGGCTCTTGAGTGCTGTCTGCGATTTCTGGATTTGATAGTAATGGAGCCAGCACTCACTTTGAGAGTCCAGTCATGCATTAGGAGAGTTAACAGGTAGACTGCCAAAGGCCCTGTAATCTGGCTTTCCTTTGCTCAGATGCCATATTCACAATCAAACCTTATTTTTAGTTGTTTTTACGGTTCATTAACCCTTTTGTTATCAATGGGATTTCTTTTGATTTTCTTTTCTCTCTTTTTTTTAAGCTTGGCAGGAAGGAAAAACTTCCATAGAAGTGTATGGGAAAATGTAAATTTCTTAATGCTCTCACCACAGTACTGTTCCATAGCAGTATTTGTTGTAAGGATATGAAATATTTAAAAATAAGGGGGGAAAAAGGAGTACCACAACAAATTGTCACAGCAATCATGATCTACCCTGTCAGCACTGGCTTGCTGTGTGCCACTTTGTCAGAAATGCAGTTAGCTTTATACTGTTCCCAAACTCTGCCACTGTTAGGGTCAGTGGTATAAGCAAATTTAATCTTCATACTATAGCCATCCAGTATCTAAAAAAGGAAAACAATTAGTAAAATTATTTGTTAAACACACCACATACACCCATTCACTTGTATACACCTCACACACACTTCCACACTTATAACTTTATATACACATACCATGTACACATATACTCATGAACATAAATACATAAATACAGATGTGAATGCACACACATTTACACCTACTCATTTATATGAATATGTGTGTGTGTGTGTGTGTGTGTGTGTGTGTGTGTGTGTGTGTGTGTGTGTGTGTGTGTGTGTGTGTGTGTGTGTGTGTGTGTGTGTGTAAAATATAATCCAGACAAAATTATCTAAGTCATTCTGCAATAGCATTGTGGAATATGTATATATATCAAATAATTGGTTGTATTACTTTTAAATAGAATTTGGAATTTTCAGGTTCATAAGTGAAGTTGTAATAGGATTGTAAACTTACCTTCTGCCTTCTGTACTTATATCCTCATTATCATCACCAATCTTAAATATTTTATACCTGTATTTTATATCTGAATTGAACCCTAAAAGCTGTGGGTTTTGACTCCCTTTAAATTGTATACTCATTTCCTTACTGCCTAAGCTAGTTCAAAATCTATTTAATATTTTTATATAAAAAGTAAATACAGTGTTATTGCTTATTGATAAATAAAAAAAATAAAAAAAAAATCTTCAGTACAAGTCATACAAAATAGTGTTCCTCGGTCTTGTTAGAATTATGAGCACCTGTTTATGAAGTATTCAAGCCCTACTCTAATTAATGTGAAAATTTGTCTGGACAAGGTCTTAAGAATACCATTACCAAGATGTAAATAATATATATTGCAGATTTTCATAAAGAACCTGCAAAGTACTGTGTGTATGAAATGCAGCAAAATATAACTTTTTTTTGTTTGTTTGTTTGTTTTTGTTTCTTGAGGCAGACTTGGTTATGGAGTTTTAAATCCTTGAGTAGTTGAGTGAATCAGTATTTCCCAATGGATGTTTGAAATAGTTTGCTTGTGACTAGAACAATTTGCTAATATCAACTGTACATTGTTTTGTTTTGTTCTTGTGACATGATCCAATACTGATCTTTCTCTTCATCTTGCTGCAGATGTTAGTATGAAGGAAATAAACATCCCAAAAGATGGAAAGTTAATTTTTCTCTCTCTTTCTCACTGACAATTATGGAATTCTGGTATATTCAAAAGGTAAAAATATTGGTTTGCTGGGCAGAATTTATTTAATATTTGCTTTTCAGAATAATTGAGTAATGTATCCAAAACAAGTGGTACACATACACCATAGCCGGTATGTGTTCAGGGAAAATGCTGTACTCGTGGTATTGTTTTTTAAACCTAAGTGATCATATTTTGAAAGAATCTTAAACTTGGATTATTGGCTATGAATAAATGTGTACAAAATGCAACCTTTCCTTTATCACCTACTGTCCTAAAAAAGAATCATATTTATTTGCTTACTAGTATATCCCCCTAATCACTTTTATATTTAATACTATACTATTGATTAACTGTATAATCAACAGTGTTTTGAGTGTTCATGACCTTCACTTAAGAAATATGTCTCCTTTGTGTAGTAAAGCCATAAAGAACACATTCAAAAATATATTACAGGCATATGACCAGTGTTACAGCAGAAACAGCTGTATAATTTTTAAAGTTAAATAATGCATCACCTCACTGTCAGATAATGGTTGGTTCCTTTGCCAAACATTTGTATTTGTTAATGTAATAAACAGTGTTCTATTTACTAGAACAATCCTCAGTGAATAAAAATGTAAAAAACCTAAAAATTTGTAAAGCATAAGGTATTTTTCAAAAATGGTCCTATGCAAATTTAAGATAATTACCTGCTAAGATGAGATGGATGTAGAGCAGAATTATCATATAAATGATCCATACACAGAAGGTCTAATTGTTACAGAAGTCTGGACCTACCAAGGTACTAAAATTCATTCATAATACTCAGGCATCATTGATGAAATGTGACATCTGGATGTTTAAATAACCCATCAGTTATACATCATACATATTTGCATAAATACACACACACACACACACACACACAAATACTAACACTTACACACATACAGACTAACACTCACACACACATACATACTAACACTTACACACACATACATACTAACACTTACAAACACATACATACTAACACTTACACACATATACATACTAACACTTACACACATATACATACTAACACTTACACACACATACATACTAACACTTACACACACATACATACTAACACTTACACACACATACATACTAACACTTACACACACATACATACTAACACTTACAAACACATACATACTAACACTTACACACACATACATACTAACACTTACACACACATACATACTAACACTTACACACACATACATACTAACACTTACACACACATACATACTAACACTTACACACACATACATACTAACACTTACACACACACACATACTAACACTTACACACACATACTAACACTTACCCATACATACTAACACTTACACACACACACATACATATATAAAAACATACATACATATGTATACACATATAAATATATGAATGCATATGTAAATATATCTACATAAATACATACATGTTTACATAAATGCATACAAACATACATACCTACATTGATACATACATACATACATACATATATATATATACATACATATATATATACATACATACATACATATATATTTATATATACACACACACACATCATACATTATATAAATATGTACATGATACACATTCTACATTCATAAATAAATACATATGTACATAATATACAATGATATATGCATACTTAAATACCTAAATATACATAAGAATAAACACAAACACACACACACCTATGTACACAGGATTTTCAGCACCTAGAAGTTGATACTATTAGTATTAGCTTTAATGAAAGACTTGGTAAAACTGACTAGTTCACTTAAAGAATGGATCCAAATTCTCCGGTTTTGAAGATAATCACTGCAAGAACCCCAGACAGAGAGTATATTGTGAAAATTAATTAGTTTCTGTCATGAATGGCTTCTCTCCCCTTCAAACCGCAATAACGTCAATCACAAACGTAACGAAAAGAATCTTGTTTGGTCTACTATGCGCGCGTGAAGGAATCCCTACATTATGGTTTTCATTACATAATTATAATAAAAAAACAGTAAATCCCCAACACCATCCTAGGTTTTTAATAGATTCGTTATACATGACTAAACTAAAACAATGAAATATGCATCAAAAAGCCATCTATTTGGAGCCTTGGAGGGACGGCGGAAGGTACTCCGAATACGTTGTGAATATACGAATCACAAAAATAATAACAGCTACATTAACCGATACATATGAATTCAGAAAATAATCAGTTTAAAAAAATCATATACAGAAATGTACGTATGTATTCTAAATGGACAGATATCAAATATTGCAGCAGCGCGATGGCACGAGTGACCATTTCAGATCAACATCGGTTTGTTGCTGGTATCACCACCACCATAACCATCATTACTACTACTACTACTACCAATACCACTATCACAACTACTGCTACGATTATTACCAATACTTCCACTATTACTAGTACTACTACTAATAAACTGCTACAAATGGCGTTACTACAAGTTATGATGATGTTATTGATGATGAAGATTAAAGTAATATTGATAATGACAATAACAATAAGAACAATGACAATGATATCAATTATAATAACAACAATTACTACAAAATTATTTATAAAAAGTAAATCATAAATAAACATATAAGTAAATAAGAATAAAAATAATACATAATAAATAAAAAATAATATATGATAATAAAATAAATAAAAATAATATATGATAAATAAATAAATGAAAATACTAAATCACAAATAATAATAATGATGATAGCAATAATGAAGAACATTATAATAACACAGTAATAATAGTAAAGATAATGACAACAACAGTAGTCAATATGAAGATATATTATTTATATTACCATTATTGTTAAAATTATAATAATTATTGTAAACAGTACTATCATTCTGATATATGAAAGGACATCGAAGTATTAAAAAAATAAGACCCGGCAGCCTCCCCGTAATGAAGATGGGATGCTGAGAAAAAAAACGAACAAGACACACGATACGTAAAATTACTACAGGCATTTATAATCATACACAGGTATTCAAACTCCAATATTTATTTAGTTCCATTTAAAATCCAGGCTCTGTTTTTTTTTTAAGCTGAAACCTTTGGAGAAGCGAAAATGAAATGTAACATACGGAACAATTTCCCTTTCAATTTAATTACATATGGCTCCATTTCAATACAAATTGTACTTCATTTTGTATTTTTGAGTTTTGTTCCTACTGTTGAAATATCGACGGTAGTTATTTCACGTGAGCATTCACTCATGAATCAGCTGATTATAACGACTCATAAAAGGCACATTGGCAACTATATTCCGCTTCGGGTGCAAACAGACAAGGTTAGTTATTTAGACATTTACCGTCCAAATTTTGTATGTAAACTCACATAAACAAATGAATTGTTGTTTTGTTGCTTTCTTAACGTCTACCCAACATGTTAAGGTACTGACACCCCGATAAGTGTGCGTATTGTAGCGTAACTTCGTATAGTAAGTTCAAATATCTAGCGGTTTCCCTCATTACTCGGTATTCTTAGAGAACTCGGCACGTGTGATTTAAATGTCAGTAACGTTAAAAGTGTAATTCATGTTGTGTCGTCTCACTTTGACATTTTTTTCTCACACAACTATGTACAACACAACGGATAATGTTGTTTTTCATATAATTTTATTCTGACTTGTTTCTTATAGTACATCAGCCGATGAACTATGGTTGGGACTTTAAACTTAAATGACTAAAGACGAAAAATTAGAAATAACACATATGTCACAAACAAACATTCATGGAAGTTAAGAAGTTACGACTAGCTAGTCCTGTCTCTTTCAAGCGCTGTGTGACCGACTCCTTTGAGGGACAAGTGGAGGGCCCTCGTTAACGGTGGGGCCTGGGAGGTCGTGCTTCTGCGGCATATATGACTCCACAAATAAGCTGACTTCCACTTTGCTGATCTGGATAGTGTTGGGAAGATGACAGAGGCCAGGCCACCGCTCTTGCCTTTGTCACAGCATCGTCAGGAGAACCCATCATCACTCAAACGCCCTCTCGCTCTTGAAGGTGGGCACTTCACTCCGCCAAGGAAAAAGAGGAAATTATACCGTCCGCACGCAGGTGCTATCTTAGGCAGAGCAGCATCCAGGTGGTTCAAGAGTCCAAGGAACACATGCGAATCCAAGGCCTGCCAAACGCCCGTAGTGTCCATTCCGCGCCTTCCCGTGGGCTGCCGAACCTTCCCTGTGCCCTGGGGAAGGAAGCAGCGCACCGCGTCCTCGGGCACTCAGACCTGCGCGAGTGATTATGTTTCAAGGAAGACCTCGCACCTGGCCGAGCTCTTCGAGAAGCATGAAGAGAAGGTAAGATGTTCTTTTAACAACGAATATGTAAATATGTGTAGGAAATGGCCAAGTGATTTTATACCTTTGGAGAGCGAGGGCGTGACGGTGTGTGAGCAGACGGAGGGCGGCCGCACCGTGGCGACCAACACGCGCCACGTCGGCTGGCGGAGCCCCGCGCAGCGCTCCCGCCGGAGGCAGGGCTGGCTGAGGGCGGCCCGCGGGTGGTCGCGCGCCGGCAGGAGGACGGACGCCTCCACGCAGACGGAGGAAAGGCAGACTGAATAATAAACTTGACACTTTATCTCGGGTTTTACTATCCTTAGCATTCTAATTTACAATGTATGGGTGAAAACATAAAATATATGTAATATAGAAATGACTGAACAATTGTTTATAGGCCCTTTTCATTACAGTATACCGATATAATTAAATATACAAGTTAGTTAATCAACATCAGTAATTTCGTGTGAAATAAAAAAAATTATATATATTCATAACCACATGAATACAGACATTATTACAAGTCCAGTATCTTAAAAAAACTGCCTTTATTATGACATGACACTGATGTTCGTATGATACAATATTTATAATCTGAAAATCTAACCAATGACTGGAATGAACATGAAAGTTGTTAACCACCCAAGATATCAACTGATGTGTCACTTTTCCCATAATAATGCATAATAGATGAACTGAAACAAGTATTGTATGTTTCAGTTTTACAATACCATGGTAATATATTTGTTGTGACCTTTTTCAAATACAGTTGTTTTCAATGTCACATATAACACATTTGCATATGTTTTTCTACTGCTGTCTGTTTCCTTTTACTATGCTGCCGTTCATTCCATTCAATGAAGTATGTAATATAGGAAAACATATAAAAAATCAAATATTTGTCCTTTAATTCAGTTCAATATTCAGTATGCTTTAGAATTTATCCTTCAGTTTCACCTGTTGTGGTATGCAGTGACAAATTCAATGACTGGAATGGAAAGAGTGTATTTCAACAGTTTACACTAACAGATATTTTTCTTTCATTTGGCACCTTTTAGATTAAGACTTAATTTATTCACTCATTCTAATCTGAGAAATCTATTTCAATTACCTGTATTAGAATATGACAATTATCTAAAATTGTCCTAGGTTCCTGTTTGCAAACAATATTTAATATCACCTAAGGTATCGAAATAGCTTTACCTGGGTACATCTTTACAAAACATTTAACATGGCCCTTCATAATGTATCTCTTATTTCATAATCTATGCCAACAAGTTATTCAAATTTCCACACTAAGATAATACCAAGATAATACTATCTGATAGAGGGAGAAGGCTTTTTTTACAATTTATACATTCATTTTGTTAAGTGAAGATTCACAGGGTATGAGATATATATATAGGCCTAGTATATGTTAACCCAATGCTGACGGGTATGACATGTACATACATGCTATGCCCACTGAGAGTTACTTGTTTGATTGTTTTTACACATAGATGGCAACACTTGTACTAAATCACCAATGAGCCAGTTACGAGTATTGCCTGTCTCACCCATTTACCCGTTTCTTTGATTTACAAAATATTTTACGTTATCTTATTTTGCTGTTACTAATGTTAAAAAGCATTATAATAATTATAATGTTTATAATAAAAATAACACCATCAATATTCATAGCACTAGTGAAAAATACGTTTTTCCTGACATATAAAATCAGGCACTAGCAGAGCCATCTATGGGCAGACATTTCACAAAAAATATAGAAAATAGGCACAGCATTTTCCCCATTTTTTGTTCATTTTCCCTGACGGCGTTGGGTTAAGAAAATTATAATGGAAATATACAGTAATAATTCTGCTGCCTTTTCTACCACATGCAAGGTCTGGAAATTTTCAGCATCTACGACATCTCCAACGAGCAATATACACTATTCCTATACATTTCTATATGGACTACCAAAAGCAATATTCAAAGAGTAAGATAAGGCCAGGTACATTAATAAGGAGGCATATTTACATATCTCTTTTTACAAAAGGGTATATCAAATACAAAGCATTTTCATGATAGGTCAGATTATTCTATCTTCAGTCCTAGAGGTAGCAATGGCTTATGTCATATACATCAAAACAAAACTCAAGAAAAAAGGCACAGATGGGTTGGATTCACAAAGATAGAGGATTTTTTTGAGATACATATGACTTCAATACTTATAAGCCTTCTATGAGGATCTGAATGCTCATCAATAAGGTGTGCAGATATATATTACCGAGAGAGATTGAGGGAAATTGACCCTGTCATCTTATAGAGCATAAGAAATAGAGTAATATACAACACAAGTACTGCTGCATGGCCTCATATTTACCATGAAATGACGAAAATATCTGGTGCATGTCACGGATCAGAGACCAAGTCCACAACACCCTCACTCAGCCAGAGTTCTCAATGTTGTGTTTACTGTAAGTTGGCACAGTGCTAATAAAAGGGGGAGGGGGGCAGGGGGTTTGCCCCATCTAGGTATAAATAGAAGGTAGGTTTGGATTTGCGTGGTATCCTGGTTTTAGGACCTCATTTCTGGGGGTGCATCACTCTTGGTAACAAATACCCTGATATCAAATAATGCAAAGCCTCTCTTCAGGTCCTTTAGGTTGCCACTTTCCTCCAAAGTGAGAAGGAATAGCTGGTGTCCTAATCACTCAATGCACCAGAGAAGCTTGAACTTCCAAATGCAAGAGTAGTACTTGGGCACTTTACTCCACTGTGCCATTGGGCCTATTAATAATACAATTAAAGTGCAGCTCAGGTATCAAAGATTACATCTGATGTTTTTTAATATAAAATATACCTGTTAAAATCAAATGTGGCTGCACATACAAATAACTGCAGTCAATGTTATTTTCAAATATCTTACTGTGCAGTGAACATTCATAAATGCATCTATATAAAAGTAATTCTACAAAGACACTGTAAACATTCAGTAATCACAATTATTATTATTGTTATTAAAAGTTCAGTATATTAACATTATAACATTTTTATTAAAATATTTGCCAAATTGTCACAATCTACAGTTTTCTTTATAAAAATATTTACAATCACAATTTTGGTAGGACTCAGCAAAACAAAACCAGGGCTTCACACTCAAGTAAGAAAAGGCCTGTAATTAAATAATTTGGTTTATTGACCGTATATTAATAGTAAATAAGAGGTGGCCTTTGCTGGAGTAATCACTCTGGTATGCTGTGGGTGTCTTGTTTAATACTGTGTAGCATAAATCTATGTAGATTAATCTAGGCCTATATAGCAATGAGTGTTAATTTGATTCCTTTATAAGATAGCAGAGTCCTTTTTATGTTTGTGAGGTCCAATTCTGGATTGTTTGTAGGTATAATCAAATTCTGACATACATGATTTTCAAGTATATGAACATTAATTTTCAAAAGCAATTATGATGAGATACAGGATTTTTCTTTGCTACAATTAAATGTTTCCATGATACAACCTGATTGAATGATATATTCCTTGCATCATTTGGATATCATAAATCCAATTTAATTGTAAAAGATAATTGTTCACATAAGTGCCCGCATCCTACTGTGATGAACTCCCTATTACTCCAGGCAGCAACCCTTTGAGCTCTCCTGGGGATCCACAAACATCACCATATGAACCAAAAACCTTCCTAACATAGGCTTCATCACCAAAGCCCCTCCCTATTGGCTATTTCCCTTGCTGGTTGTACTGCCCCCAGGCCCTCACCCAACCATCCTGAATTTGGTCTCCTTGTGGCATTTTTCCTGAACTATTTTCAGTATTTTACACATCATTCGTTACCTGCGCAGATTACTTCATGTATCAGTGTGCGCAGATTTTCTCTCTTTATGACAATGTCTTTAGATTTTCCCAGCCTAAAGCAGTTATTATGTAAATATATACCAACAATATGATAAACAAGTACCAACTAGAGGTCAACCTAGTTTGGTCAAACTGCATAATATGTTTTAATTTTCAATATCTTGTTTGAACTCAGGCAGATTATCCACAATTGGCTCATTTTATACTTGTAACTAACACGGACAATAAGTATTATAAGGTAGTGGCAGAGTTGGGTAATAAAACCTACATGAAATGATAGAACAATACAAACCAAGACAAAGTTCTTCTATAGCAATGTGTGCGCAAATGCTTCCCAAGGGTGCTATACGTAAAAGAAAAGAGAAGATTCCCAATTTTGGCTAAGTTGTTCATATTGTTTACATTGCGAGGGTACACTACCACTGGGGGCCCAGGGGCAAAGCCCCCTGGCTAGGTGTATATACAGGGGTCCAGGGTTAGGTTAGGTTAGTTTAGGTGGCTAGGCGTATATATTGCCACAGGGGTCCAGGTGGCACAGCCCCCTGACTAGGGAATATATACCACAGTGTTAGGTTAGGTTACATGTTGGGTTATACTATGTTTTGTTTAACAACCACAGGGGTCCTGTTTTACCCCATAATTTCCCTGATATACTTCATGCCCTCCCCTGCTATCGGGACTATCAAATCAAGATTGCTGATGGAGATAGTTATCATATCTCCTCAACGATTCATTTGCACAAGGAACACTGCCTAGAATTGTTGAAAGCAGTGGACTTCAAGTAGAAAAATATCAAAATGGTTTCGAAAGTAACCCAGGATAATATGTAGTATAAGGTAGTTCTATCATTTCATGTAGGTTTTATTACCCAACTCTGCCACTACCTTACACTACATACTGACCGTAACCCACTACCCTCTTCTACATATTGACCAAAACTTGTTCACTACAATCTCGTCCTGTGAATAACTTCCGTGGTCACTAACCTGGAAATATGAAACCCAGTCGAAGATAATTCACATCATGATATTGTATCTAGTGAGAGCATTATGAGGAAGCCTTCGCATGTCAGTTCCACCTTCTATCACTATAAGGGTATGTTTACACTTATTTGTGAAGAAACACCGTCACAAAATGAACTGAAAACGAACGAAACGGATGAAGCAAAGCACCGGATAATGAGCGAGTTCGAAAAGTTGCGTTCGTTTTCAGATCCTATTGTGGCCTTTTCTTTCTTTCTTTCTTTCTTTCTTCGTGCATCTACTTCTAAGCAAAACTTCCTACATCCTTCCATATAAAACCGTTTGAAATTCTTACAGGGTATTCTTTCATGTTACAGTGATATGTGCGCGTCATGCGTTCTCTCTCACACACGCACCCACACCCACACCCACATCCACATCCACACCCACACTCACACCCACATACACATACACATACACATAC